AAATCGATACCATTTATACTCAATCTTCAAACACTTGGTGAACATTCACCCCAATGACTTTCTCTATATAGTGTTATTAATTTCCCAATATTCTGAAGTTTACTAAGGTTCCGAAGCAGAGAATACATGTAATGCTTTGCGTCAACCTTATCGTGACTATTCCAAAAAGTTTAAACACTCACTCTTCTCTAACGTCCACCGTCACTTCGATATATAACGAGCAATAGTCAATTATTTAAACTTAAAGCTATGCTGTCTGCCAGCCCAGTTGAATTCAAATGCAGCAAGTTCAGTTTTCTTAGATAACTTTTTGGAACTACATCTTTTAACTGCTTAGTTAGACGGAGATTATTTAACTCAAAGGTCGTCGTTTACATGGCGAAGTTTATATATATCTTATTGAAACTAAGTTTTGACGTCAACTCTCAAACAATTTACGAATTTCGAAGTTGAATGAATATCTGACACAATTTTGTTGACCTTATCAGTCTTCTGGAATCGATATTTTTGTAAGAATGCGTCTAGAGACTTGATTATAATTTTCTGAAATTATGTAGACATTAGTTAGATGATATTATATATTATTTGATATTCTCCAGGGGACATGCGGGATTTCATTTGCGTAGAGCTAATGGTTTTTATGATTCAAAAAACTCTCCAATATTGGTCGAAACATTGGTTTGGCGGGAGGTAGCTGACACTTCTAATCACTACAACTAAGTTATTAAACCGTTATTAGGTTATTATACCGTTTTAAACTAATCTTTAAATGGCACCGCTGTGAAGCGTAGAAGTTTAATATTTTAAAATTATTTTTTTCTTACTAATATTTTAAAATACCTCACATAACGTTACATGCTAATGAAATATACATTATTATTTTTTTCATAAAATGTTTCTTAATAACTCTTCAAGCATTATTTTTTTCATATGTTTATTAGTACCTCAAACTTAATTATTTATTTCCTGTTGCACTGAGCCGAGCCAAATTTGTTGTACAGAATCTATCATAAAAACACCTATATTCTTTCCTTACTCTAAACCTTGCTTTGGTTTTCCTCACTTCATTTCAACACAAAAGCAAGTACATGTACAAAAAAATGTCCCTCCCCACTTGTTTTAATTTTCTTGCGCCGTCAGTTTGTCAATATATCTAGATTGTAAGGATGCCTTTTTCTCGCCTAAATGGCTCTTCATAATTATATCTTGACTGTGAAGATCTATGCATCCGTATCTTCTATATGTTTTTTATTCTTATATCATTATTGAAATGCGAATTGGATGCGCGCTAGCTCATAAGACACTCATGAGGGTTGCTTAAGGTGACCAGCTTAGGTAAACATTTTAATGGGAGAGGAAAATAAAAACTCAAACTGAGGTTTATATACATATGTTTTTTCAAATAAACGTTTTAATATTCTTTCTTAAACTTATGCTTTTTTGTTATTGCTGTTGAGCTTTTATCTTGTATTATATTCATATCCTTCCTTTTACTAACACATTTTACTTTTTTACTGGTCACCTTAAACTTAAGTCAGCCGGGGAGCACACGTCTGAGCACAAATTTATGCTGCGCACGATCGCCTTCAACGCTACTACGTTGCGCATGCGTGGCAGCAGGAAAAGGCATCACCGCCGCCGCTTTTAGTTCATACGTATCCTTGACAGCGTAAACACCTGGACACGGAGTCGAAATGTTGTAGTGATCCAGATAGAAATGAAATTAGCGTAGAAACATTTACTTTGTTGCTGTGATTTACACATACTATTTAGCGAGTGTTCTTTTGCTAGCACAACACAGCGACAAAATGATCATTTGCATTTCGGGTTTTATAATTGGTGAAAGGTAATAAGCAAAAGTAGAAGAAAAAAACTAAATAATCAATAAAGGTGTAATTGCTTAAATTAAATTTAAATGCGCCATAAAAAGCCAAATTCGCCACATGTCTTCGTTTTATTTCGCCTGCGTCTCGTTTGGCTTGCAAAACAGCTGTTCGTGTTTTGATCCCAATAATAAAAGTTTATAAATTCGGTAGCCAGAAATCAGGTGCAAAATATTGCATTTCTTTATTGTCGTACCAATTCGTACAATAGCCGATAACTGTGTGCCAAAAAACAGAAAAAAAAGTAAAGGGTGACCTGATTTCTCGGACAATGCAAAACACAAGAAACAAATAACAAAAGCAAACAATGTCTTGTAAAATTACAACAAAAAGCTATAAATATGTAATAATTTTGTAAAAGGTTTAAAAAAAAGTATTTTTTTGATAAACAACTGTTTTTTACAGTAATAAAAGCACAAAGAGGAGTAATGATAATAATAAATAAATGCTAATAAAAATAAACAAAAATACAGTGCTGTGCAACAAATGCATGTGACCAAATGTTTTCCAAGAAATTTTTATGAAAACTGTTACCATTTTATGTGTTTATTGGTGTGATTAATTTTTAGTGACAACTGTGTGTTTGTTGAAGTGGTTTTGCGAAAATAAAAGCTAAAGCAAAAAATTAATAAATTAATATATTAGTGAAAAAATTAATTTGGAAAATATTTTATTAAACAAAAAACATCTAAAAGAAGTAGTTGTAAAAATTTGTTAAATTTTAGCGCAAAAATTGGATCTAAAAATATTTTAAATAAATAAAAATTTGATATATATGTGTATATATGTATATTTTTTTGTAATGCAATAAATATCTTTAACATGTTCATAAAATGTTTATAGGAAGTAATGATTTTTAGTGAGAAAATTTACCCAAAATTTTTTTTATAAATTTTATAGATGAAATAGAATGTGATTATGTTTATATTAAAAAAAAATTTTTATTGATATTAATCTATAATCAGTTGAAGCCAAATAAAATCGAATATAATTATTACAATTGAAAATAAATACTTATAAACTTTAGAGCATGATCTAATATACTAACAAGTAAGGAATGGCTAAGTTCGAATGTAACCGAACATTTTATACTCTCGCAAAGTCAAATGGTATACTCGTTTGAGATTTCTTTGTGGATTGACTGATATTTTCGGTAGAAGGTCAACTATAGGCACTGGGGTCCACATATTTAGTACTTAGGGGCTTGAACAGTTTAGGGTTGATTTAGGCAATTTTTGGGAAAAAGACGTGATTGTAGTCCGATTTCGCCCATTTTCCCCCGGTTAAGCAGATCCCAAGATATGGGTTTTCACCTAAAAGTGGGCTGTGCCACGCCCACTGTCTAATTTTGAACGCGGTTCCTATAAAGTCATCTCATCTCAGAGAAAAAATTTAATGTCTCTGGTGTGTTTAGTGCTTGATTTATCGCGCTATTAGTAATTTTTAACAGTACCGTTGTATGGGGAGTGGGCGGAGTTGCCCCCCGATTTCAGCTATTTTCACACTGTAGGTAGAGGTTCTAAAAGCATTTGCTTCCAGTGGATTTTGTTATTATAGCTTTAGCGGTTTAGGAGATATGCACATTAAACCTATTAAGGGCTGGACCACGCCCACTTTTAAAAAAATGATTGATTAATGGCGTTTTGTGGGCGTGGCAGTGGTCCGATTACGCCCATCTGCAATACCAATCGTCTCACGGTACCAAGAAACATGTCTACCAAGTTTCATAAAGATATTTCAATTTTTACTCAAGTTACAGCTTAAACGGACGGACAGACAGTCAGCCGGATTTCAACTCGTCTCTTCGTCCTGATCATTTATATATATATAACCCTATATCTAACTCGATTAGTTTTAGGTGATACAAACAACCGTTAGGTGAACAAAACTATTATACTCTGTAGCAACAGGTTGCGAGAATATAAAAATAGCTCGAGACCCGATACTTATAGCACTTAAATAAAACTTAAAAAAATACTGCTTTACTTTGTGCCACTTCAAGTTTTGTACATAAGTCACTAGATATCAGAATACCCCAATAGCTTTTTGGCACGTAGCGTTTTTTATTTAGTGATTAATTATAAATTAGCTATTACGAGTATTATATACAAACATGCAGTAATAATTGCCGCTAAGTTTTGTAAAATACTTAGTCGAGCTTCCGCTCCTAAGTTTTGAAGGAGTGCGCCTTGATATTTTAAAGTTAAGTTTTGAGGATTTAAAGTAAGGAGCAACAATCTTTAGTCTAATAATTCTGGGAAGTACTGAAGTTTCAATATTGTTTTTGACAGAATCTAATGTAACCCATGAGACAAGGTGAACATAGCTAATACAGTAAATTAGGAAATGTATTAAATTTGCAATTAAAAGGTATAATTAGAAATCCGCAACATATCTATTTCGTAGACCTTCTACTATATGCGATGACTTGATTTACTTTTTCACCAAGTTAGATTGAGAAATTTTAATTTTTTGTCAAGATATCGTCGACGTTTTGTTAGTTTGCTCCAGTGTAAAAATATTTTTGAAGATTTTTTAAAATCTAAAAATGGCGGAAAATAATTTTTTCAGAACTGTTGTGTTTGGGCATATGCTTTATATTTATTTCATTGCAATTTTAAGCTTCCGTTTTTAAGATATTGCTTCCAATAAAACACATCGAATATTGATAGGGTGGATCGGAATAAATCAAATTTTACCAAACAGCTTAAGTCGAGTTTTAACATATTCCCATAGATTACTTAAACTTATTGTACCTTTTACTTAAAACTCAGTGTTGCTTATTAAATTCAAATGAAAATAATTTTTTTGAATAAACATTTTGTTGTTTTATCATATAATACATACTTATATAAATTTTTTTAGAACATATCAATTTTTGATATCTGTGTTTCGTAGAGTTTTTTATTTAAGTTGTTGCTGAACAAAAACCTCGAGTGTACGAAATTAGAGTCGAAATTTGATTTTTCCTATTCTACAAATATTTTAAGTTTACTTTACGACGCATCCTACTATCTACATAGAGCTATTATTATTAAAAAATAAATTTTTGGTTTAATTTTTCAATTTTGTTTCAACCAAGTAACTAATTGGAATTGAATTTTTTATATTTTTCAGTTTCCCACAAAAATCCATCGAGCGTAGCGGTTCCACCCAATATGACATTGCTGCACCGCCGGGCTCCACAACGTCCGGTTCCACAATGTCAACGGATTGTGGTGGTTATGTTTATCTGCAACAACACTATATACCCTCGAGCTCTTCCAGCGCTGCTATAAATTATCCCGTAATGCCACAATCGCACATGATTTACCAGCAACATCATCCACAGCAGCAACAACAACAATATACAAATTCGTGCCATCAACAGCAAATCGCACATCAGTCAGCAGCCGCAGCAGCAGCGGGATCCGGTGAGTTGGACGCATAGTTATTTACTTATATATATACATATATATATATTAGGGTGGGTCAAAACAAACGAAGGTTTTTATTTCGCTTGGTACTTTGAAAAATTGGTAGATACACACCTCTTAAAAAGTCTCGCAAAGTATGAGCTCTTAATTGTAACGGGAAGGTTCTCCGCTTTACAGTTTTCTATTTTTTTCTTGTTTTCAGATAGAAAAATTCATATCTCGCTAAGGAAAGATACATTGTTTTTTTTACCCACCCTAATGTATATGTATGTACATAATATATACATATGCAAACTGAGCCGCATTCATAATAAAACAAAATATTATCTATTGTGCTATTAATTTTATGCGCGAGCGTTAAAGTCGGCCTTACTCAACACAAGGGCTTTCGCACATATCTGATATACTTGTATCCACTGATTGTTACAACTTAATTATCTTCTCTTCACTTTTCCTTCCTGTAATTGTTTTTGTATTTGTTAGTAACATCTTTTTTCATTACTAATATACTTTTTTTTTGTTTTTTCCCACAGGTGGCATGCATCATGGCCAACATGTGAGCTTACATCACCAGCATCATCATCACCATCTACTGCATGGCCATCATCATCATCACGGTGGCGCCGTTGTGATTGCCGGCAGCGGTGTTGGCACCGGCGGTGCGGTTGGTGTGGCTGGTAGCGGCGGTCCCGGCAGCACTTCGCCATCGGCCATGCAGCAAAATATGCATAAGAAGAATTCCATACGTAATGGCAGCGATGTGCTGAAGCGTGCACGTGCGCAGACAGCGTAAGTCTTGATAAAAATCGATCTATAATTATTTATTTTTATATGTGAGGCGAAAATAATTTGTCATTAACGGTGATTTTGAACTGTTATCCGCGATCAATGTGACATAATTGTTTAATATTTCATTTTGTTGTTGATTTATTTATAAAAAATGACTGTTATTAGGTAAATGGTGTCCAACATATATATGCATAGATACGTATAAACGCACATTACGGTGTGAAGAGAAAATTCGTAAAAGCAATTTTCTTAAATTTCAAATCCGATTTTATAAACGCATTTCACAGAGAGCTTAAAATTGAGATTTTTCCATTAAAGCGCAAATAATTAAAATAGAAAAATAATTTTCTTTTATGCCTACAAAGCATGACCTCTTAACGAAGATTTCACTGACTTCTTTCGGTACTGATTGGAATTAGTTAAGCAGTGTAACAAACGCCTAACGCTGGTAAAGTTTTTAGAGGAGTTTCAAAAATTATATATTTTCCCCTTTAACGTCTAAAATGGATATCACTGTACTCGAATAAATCACATCAAACAATTTTGTTTTGATTTTGTGAGATTCAATCATGTTACGATGTTAATCAGCGCTCAATGTTCAGTTTTTTCTGTTGAGGCTAAGAAACTTAAATATATTTTTGCATCTAACAACCAAAGTAACTATTATCGTTAACGATATCACCTATAAATTTCTCCATAGAAAACTTTTAACTTTGGCAGCTTCGCATCAATGGACACAAAACTCAGTTTTGTTCCTATTTTAAAGTACAATATTATGTTATCTCGACAGCGCCAAAGTTTTGCATTATCTATGACGACTAAAAACATATATTCATTTTTCAAAACTACCACTGTGGTTAGAGATATCACATAGAAGTTTCTCTATAGATTTATCTGAAACTTTAAACCCCTTATTTTATTTTGGTAGTATGATTGTTGAAGGTTTTCTCTAATGTGTTATACTTGTATATGTATATATATTTCAAGCCTTCAGACATACTCTTCGAATAATTTTGTTCGCCATTTTGCGATTAGCTGTAATCAATATACGCTGTTGGACTTGAATTCGTGAATTGTGCAAGTAAACTCAATCGATATCGCTAAAAAAAAACAGTACCATATAAATTTATACACTTTTTGCGTTTCAAACAGCTTGCAGGATTACAAGTTGATAAGAATCTGTCAAAAGATAACTAAATATGCGATAATGTTCAGGGAAGATTGCTCATTCACATTCAACTAATACACAATTTTTGAAGCTCATCCAACTACTTGGTCTTTTTAGTATCACCAAAGCGCCTCCTATCTTGTCTGATTTCTGTTTTGGAATAATCTGTGAATCTACAAATTCTATGTCTGGGCGTAGATGCCATATGATTCTAGTGCGAAGACCCCATTTATTACACCAGCAATTTTACTATCACCGTCTACATAGGCATTTTGAGGTTATGGTGATTTCTCGAAGCATACATTAGATATCAGTTATGACATGAAATTGAACAAAGCTCTACTAGAGTGTGCAATCGAGGACATCTTACATATTTTGTCAGATATTGGTTGCAGTGTCTTTGAAAACCGAGTACTATGGATATTTGAACGATCTTATATACCCTACATAACAACCTTAATCTGCACGCGGTTTATTTAAGCCATTTCTACATCGGCCAATCTTATATGCAACAATCGAAATTGATCGAAGCATTTTATAAGACTTTGCAGCAAATCTTCTTTCTTATTGACGTCATTCAACAGCGTCATTCAGGTGTGCTGTATTTTTGCACAACAAATTTTAAAAATAACAGTGCATAATTACAATCAAGCAATTCAAGAATGCGTATCACACCTTTGTATTTGTACAAAACAGTCTGGAAATGTGTAAATGGCCGATAATGTCAATATAATATTTTAGGAACATGTGTGCAATTAAAAGCAAGAAAGAACATATTTGAAAGGTCAACGTTATGTAAAGTGAATTTCCAAATGTTGTTCTTTACGCGTTCGCAGATATTTTTAGGTACAGCAGGGATGCCGTCGCGGAACTATGTGAAATTTTTTATATAAGTATAATCTTTTAAATAAGTATACTCTGATATCAAAATGGGATCCATAACACTTTCTAGGTTTCATATAACATGCTGAAACTAAATAACTGTCTTAGACTAAGTCTATTGTAGTTTTACAAGAAATATTGCCGAAGTTGGTCCAGAATTGTACGGACAAATTGTACACGTCAAATATATAGATTTCCATCGTCTCATTCATATCGCAAATATTGCGTTCCTTTAATATTCGAGCGTATCTTAGATTTGGTTTCGCCCACACTTAGCGTTGTCTTACTTATCTCGCTTTATTGTTTTTCTGCCATAAAATTGCTTAGAAAACTTAGAGTTATTGTACACAATGTTTATTGATTTATATATGAAGTGTCCCTTTTTAGAAATATAGAACTTTTTTAATAAAATACAGGAGAGTTCTTAAATTTTTTGACATTAAGTGTCTGAACCGAGTTTCGTGCATGTGACCAAAGTTCCATTTTATGAGAACTAACCAGTGGATCCAATTTTACTGTTTTAAGTATCTGCATTTTCTAATCAATTACACTATAGTTAAAGATATCGCCTAGATATTTCACCGTAGATAAGTCTTAGTTTTGGCATTTTCTCGTCATTAACGCGCCGAGTCTTAGATTCCAAACGAGGGACCAGATCTCTCAATAGAGTATTGGTTTCTTGCGCTGTCTGTACTTGCTGGTGCCCCTTAGCATTTGTACGATTGATATTGAAAAAACATCGCGAATCACTTGCCCGTAGCGCTCATCATTAATGGTAACATTGGCTCTATTTTCAGTCTTAAAAGATTATGGAGCAAGCATATCTTCAGCATATATACTCAACCAGACAATTGTCCTTTTTTTGTATAAAAGTGAGCCCAGAGCGTGCTTTCCGTATCGTTCAACCCCAATTTTACCGCATCCTTAAGTCATCATCATCATGACGGAAAAAATTACGTATGTATTTTGGAAATAAATGTCCACGATTTTTAAACGCTATTAGGTTATAAGCTCTTGCCAAAGTGTAACGTATTTAAATGACAAACACATTTACTTACTTTGACAGTTGGTTTGATAGCTATCCCTCTAGGAAGTTCTATATTCCGCTGAAAGTCAAAATCTATTGAAAAGAAATGAGCTGCTTTGACAACTATCCCTAAACAAATTTTATTTTATTTTATGTCTAAATACAGGTATATCGAAATAGAAGACGCCGCTTTTCTAGCTGTTTTTTCTTTCGTCGTATTGTACTTTACTGTAGGTGATTTCGCTAAATGCTTTATTGTCTCATTATGGCTTATGAAAACAATTGGCACTAATACTTCACAGACACCTTAATAGCTCCGAATCTTTATCGCGCCAGACGATCGCTTTGCTATACGATAACAATTGTTGATTTCTAAGCATTTAATTAGAGTTAGCTGTATCAATTGATTTCATTTTAAATTAACATTAACATTTTCTCTTTATTGTTTCAATTTTTTCTAGATTTACTTTTTACAAAACTTGTCGGTTTTTCTTTTTTTTTTTTGTCTGTGCACACATTGTGAACTTTGCAAATATGTTTAGAATTTAAATATCATCACAAAGTGACCATAAACGTTCCAAATTGTTTGTGTAAGAAAGACAAGTATGTGCAGATAAGATAAAATGCTCAACAAAAATATTTATCTTATCGCGCGTAACCGCCAAGTAAACAAGCAAAAATATGGTATTTTAAAATTCACACAGTTACGCGAAAGCTCCAATGCATACACACAGACGCGTAAATTTACGTACAACAACTTAGTATTGCTGTTGTTTTTATTTGGTGTATTGGTTGGCAGCGGCGCTGTGCTTGTGCGTCAGCGCTAATGTGACGCGCGCGCACCAAAGTTATATTTGTAAAAAAAATTTCATTTTAAACTTCTGTGTTCAGTAGTCGAAAGTTTCTAGAACCATATCGGCCTGTCAGCTCCGGTGTCAGTGCCAGTTTCAGTTTCAGCCTCATTGTCAGCTTCAGCAAAAGTGTGGTGCAGCCAAGAAGAAGCGCCTGCGCCTAACAATCTTAGAAGTAGTCAGCAAACTAATCAGCGCACAACATACATATATACATTATCTTTATGTATATATATATACAAATATACATATATGCTACGTGTGATTTTCCGATTTACGCCGTGCCGCTGTTGGCGATTTTCGATTTTTTGAACGTTTTTGCTTTTCAAATTTACATACGCGCCAATAAACGTACACTTGTACTTATGTGTGTAGGTAGGCATAATAATAATATGTGCTTGTGAGCTATTTTTCTTCGATTTTTGTTGTTTTTGTTGCTATTGTATTACACAATTTTCACGTTATGCAATGCCATTTCAAGCATTTTGTTGCCAAGTCTCACTTATGCGCATACAAACAAACATACAGCCATTATAATAATTTCTTCTTCTTTGTCTACTGCAGATACGAGCTCTCACAAGATTTGTTGGAGAAACAAATTGAACTATTGGAGCGTAAGTACGGCGGCGTGCGCGCGCGTAATGCAGCCGTAACGATACAGCGCGCCTTCCGCCACTATATGATGGTGAAAAAGTTCGCCTCAATTACCGCTATGGCCAAAGCTGAGAAACGTCTTAGCCGCCGCGTACTTATTGTATCTGGTGGCGCTTGTGGTGCTGGTGCCGTAGTTGGCGGTGTCGAAGATGGCCCTGCCTCCAATTCGTCATTGTCCTCAGCATATGGCAGCGCAACTGAATCTCAGCTGGATATGATGCATCAGCAGCAACAACAGCAATTACAAGCACCGGGCACTACGTCGCCGTATGCCAACCAACAGTCACAAACACAACAACAGCAGCAGCAGCCGCGTGTTACCATTTTGGCTGGTCCACCCGGCAGTGTGGTGGGCGCCACATCGGTGCCAATTGTGTCGTCGAGTGCCATGTCAGCGCGCACACCGCCCACTCGTTCGCTGTCGATGCGCGAGCGCCGACAACAGGATGGCAGTCCCATACCGCGTAGTCAGTCAGGTGAGTTGTTTAGTAGTGATTCATGCTTTCCAGGTGTTGAGTTTATTACGTATTATGTTCTAAATTTTTATTTTAAATTTCTTGTTCTTAATATTTTTAATGTAGACTCATTTTAATTTTAAATGAAACCTACTAGCAACTTTTCTTCTAAAATTTCTTTTTTGCCCACTTTCAGGCGCCTCATCGGTTCCCATTGGTGGCGGTGGCGGTTCCTCCGCATCTTCTACATCTTCCGGCGGCACACTCGGTTCGGCCACACACCCACACGTCAACCTGCTACATGCCACCGAGCCACATTTCTACGGCAGTCAGCATCTGGCCACACATTACTATCATGTCCCACCACACGAGGCCAGTTATGCCAGCTCGGCGAACAATTCACACTTGGACAGCTCGTTGAATACCTCGTGGGCGAGCGTAGCCAGTGGCACATCGCCACACACACCCTACTATTCGGCGGCACAAATTTACATGCGACCCAAAGGCGCGCCCGGCAGCACATCAGCCGAGCGCAAGAAAGTGCCACCCGAAGTGCCGAAGCGCACCTCCTCCATAGCAGCACAACAGCATGCACAGCATCTGGCAGCACAGCAACAACATCAACACATGCTAATGATGCGCCAGACACCACCACCACCGTCACTATTACGCTCTAATGGACTATGCAAAAGCGCCGAGAATGGCAGTCTCACATCCGTGCAGAGTTCGGGCAGCGATTCAAGCGTCACATCAGCCGATCGCATCGCTGTCAACAGTGATATTGGTTCGGATCGTTCGAATTCGCCACAAACGTGGAAGCGTAACACGGCGCTATCAAGTTCACAACAATTCGTGCATAACAACGATGCGGGCGCGGTGGCATTTAGTCTGGCACAGGCACAGGCTGCTGGTATGGTGACCGACGGACGTGGTGGTGGCAGTGTTGTTGGCGCGGCCAATACGTCCGATGATCATGCCGTCTCGTCACACACAACTGCAGCGCAGTATGAGCAGCACGAACAGCAACAGGATCATCACTTGAATGCGGCGGCGCCGTTGCAGAATTACAAGGTTTCAGAGACGATACGCAAGCGTCAGTACCGCGTCGGTTTGAACCTGTTCAATAAGAAACCGGAGAAGGGCATCACTTATTTGATACGGCGCGGCTTCCTCGAGAATACGCCACAAGGCGTGGCGCGCTTCCTTATCTCACGTAAGGGTTTGTCGCGTCAGATGATCGGCGAGTATTTGGGCAATTTGCAGAACCAATTCAATATGGCGGTGTTGAACTGCTTCGCTTTGGAGCTGGATCTGTCCGGTATGCAGGTTGATGTGGCGTTGCGCAAGTTCCAGGCGTACTTCCGCATGCCGGGCGAAGCGCAAAAGATCGAGCGGCTAATGGAGGTGTTCTCCCAGCGCTTCTGCCAGTGTAACCAAGATATTGTTGGACGTTTAAGATCTTCAGATACGGTAAGTGAAGAACGCTTTACGATTGCATGATTATTGAAATTCCTAACTTCTCTGTTAATAGATCTTCGTACTGGCTTTTGCCATCATCATGCTGAACACCGACTTACACACACCCAACCTCAAACCGGAGCGTCGCATGCGCGTTGAAGACTTCATCAAGAATCTGCGCGGCATTGACGATTGCCATGACATCGAGAAGGATATGCTTGCTGGCATTTACGAGCGCGTCAAGGCTAATGAATTCAAACCCGGCAGTGATCATGTAACGCAAGTGATGAAGGTGCAAGCCACAATTGTGGGTAAGAAACCCAATTTGGCATTACCGCATCGGCGGCTCGTTTGCTATTGTCGCCTCTATGAAATACCCGACGTCAATAAGAAAGAACGACCTGGTGTGCATCAACGCGAAGTTTTCCTCTTCAACGATTTGCTAGTGATAACCAAGATATTCAGCAAGAAGAAGTCCTCCGTAACTTATACGTTCCGTAACAGCTTCCCACTATGCGGCATGGTGGTAACACTACTCGACGTGGCCAATTATCCATTTTGCATACAACTGTCACAAAAGGTCGACGGCAAAATTTTGATCACATTCAATGCGCGCAACGAGCACGATCGCTGCAAGTTTGCCGAGGATCTTAAGGAGTCCATCAGTGAGATGGATGAGATGGAGGCGCTACGCATCGAAGCCGAATTGGAGCGCCAGAAGTCGGCGCGCAATCGTACAGCGGGGAGTTCTGAGAACCGTGATAGTGGCGTAGCCGACGTAGAGGTAGGCGCATATCAGGCAACGCCCGCCGGCGAACTTGCACCGAACGCAAACGATCCAGCGCAACAACTGAAACGTAGCGCGCTCAGCAACAGTCTGCTCGACATGCATGAGCAATGTAAGTATCATAGCAATCAATTTTATTTTTATTTTTTCATATAACCACAACTAATTTTATTCCAATCTCTGCAATAGTTGGCAACGAGAAGCCGCAACGGCGTGGCAGCGTCGGTTCTTTGGACAGCGGCATGTCCATCTCCTTTCAATCGACCACCACAAGCAGCGCCTCACGTGAGAATGCTGCCGTTATTGCAGCAGCCGCTAATGCCGCCGCGGCCAAAATGCGTTTCAATTTACCCGCCGGCGGAGCAGTCGCTATGGGCGGCAATGTAGGCGCCACGGTCGTATATCCGAATACAGTCGGCACCTATGCACATGCGACCGCGGGATTTGTCAGTCAACCGCATGCTATACTTATGCAACAACAATTGGTGGCACAACAGCAGCAGCAACAACAACAACATCTACAAAACTTGCAACAACAACCGCAGCAAGCAGCGCTGTTGCTACAGCAGCAACAACAACAAGCGCATGCAGCAATGCAAGGTTCAATTACGGGACGTGTGCCGGGTAGCGGACGCGAGCGCAAATTATCGCGCTCCGATGAGACCGGCCGCTCCACCGAAGTGTGAACAGTGAGAGAGTAACGCCGCTTGCAGGATTACAAGGAATAGCTGTATGTGCTTTAGGGGAAGAAGGAAATTTTTGTAAATTTGTATGTGTGTGTAAAGTATTACCGAAAGAGTTCAATTTTTTAGTTAAGCTTAACGAAAGCGAAAGAAAGCTTCCGTTATGTTTGTTCGGTTTTCGCTTTGTGAATCGGTGAAGCAGCTATGTGGCATATTTAATAAAGTAAAGGCGCAAAACATTTTATTTTGTAAAATTAAATTTAGTTTAGTATCAGATTAATTGTTGGGTTTGAGGTTATGTCCGCGAATCAAACTGTTAACTTAAGTTAATAAGTCAATTTATATTGTTAACTGCTAATACAAAAACAACAATATAAATTAACAAATTAAATATGATTTGAAAAATAAAACTTAACTTTGTAGTAAATACAACAACAATACCTTAAATACTGTTTTAAAGCGGTTTAAAACCAATTCATGTTTAATTTTAAATAGTTTTATGAGCTATAATGACTTTATTTGTAATTAAAAAAATATATATATTAACGAAAATTTAAATAATTAATATAAATTGTTTCAGCGTGTTTTACGATTTATTGATAACTATTTATATTATATATATATATTTTTTTTTTTTGCGAAAGTCTAATTAAAATGAAAAGAATTTAATTTCGATTCAATAATATTTAATAAAATCGAAATAAAGTAACCTTATTGTTGATGCCGAAAAAGTATTTTAGGTTTCAAATTAATAATTTAGATTCAAAAAAGAGTTGTAATTGCAACTTTTTACTTATTAAATCCAATTGGAAATTTATTTGGATTTTAATAATTTAAAGCATTTTGGTTTTCACATTAATAATTACGATTCTAAAAAGAGTTGAAGTTACAACTTTTTTACGTTTCACAAAGTTTCTAAAAATGTATTTGTGTTCTAAAATATGGATTTGAAACCTTGAAATTACTTGTAAATTTTGGAAAATTTTAAATTGGGTTTAAACTTTGGTTTGTTGAACTTTTTTATTATTTTTGTTTTAGTTTATGTTGATTTTTTTTTTATTATTCCTGTTTTAGTTTCTGTTGATTTTTTTTTCATTATTCCTGTTTTGATTTTTAGTTTACCTTTTTTAATATTGTTGAATTTTTTTTTTTTTATTAAAAGATAATTTTTACATTTGTTATTTCACATAAATTCAATCTTTATTTTATTATTATTCACATAAGTTTCAATGAACTAAGAAGTTAATTTTGTTATCAAAATGTGTATAAAACATAATTGAAACTGATGTTAATTTCTCTTAAAATCATTTAAATAATTTGTTTCAAAATACAAACGTTTTGCGCTCGCGCTTCGTATAAATTGCCGCTTATACCATTTTTTAAGATAAATTTAAATTAATTTAAAAAAATAGATATTAAATAAAAGTTTTGTTTTGTATTTACTATTAAACACACCAAACATTTTTGCTTCCTGTACATACAGCAAATGTTTTTTTTTATTAACATTCGGTTCGGGTGACTGCTGGACGTTCAAAAAAAAATATAATTATTTGCCAAAAACACAAAAATGCAAAATTGTTAGTCATACATATGTATATCGCGCTGTATGACACAACACTTTAATTTGTATATATCAAACAAAGTAGGCGTGGCTCTACTACACTTACTGCATTATGCTGCAACGCTGACAGCTAATAAAGTTCACTTATTTTTGTATATTTTTATGCTCGTTGATTTATTATTTTATGCGCATACATATGGATGTATTTGCGCGTCTATGTATGTATATGTATATGTTATGTTATTGCTATTTTTTGAATTATTAAACTTACTTATATGCGTATTATTTATTTGTACATTAACAATACAAAACACAACAACAAAATATATAAAAAAAAATGAGTAAACGAAAAGTCAAAATTACAACAACAAAATATGAAAAATACATAGTAACAACAATATTAATGAATATTAGCGTTAGTCCGGTACAGATCCAAATATTACCAGCATATAAACCATAAAAAAACTAAACTTATTCATAAATGTTTTTTTTGTATTTTAAGTATACAATAGCTTTTTTTTCGAAACTAAAAATATTATATTTGTACAAAGCGCTTGTTAAGTACTGCGTTTTGTCTTAAACAATAAATAATTTAAATATGAATTAAATAATTAAATTTAGCTTAAAAGTCTTACTGCACTAGCTACATACATACATAAATATATATATTTCTAATACAAAAATATTAACAATTATATGAGTATAAATATGTACATATATGTATACATATATATAATGATTCTAGTAGCGAATAGGGAAAATTGTATGAAAGCATTAAAAGCAAGCGTATATGAAAACAAAAGCAAAAAAAAAACACAAAAACAATAAATAAAATATATATTAACCGTAATAATTCGAAGCTAATGATTGCATTTTATTAAGAGACTCGCTCTAACTCTTTCTCACACACACATATATATATATATATATATATATACACGTACAAGTCAACTTCGATTAATGTTCCTTTTTCCAGTATGAATTCATATATTCATAAAATAAACTTAAAAAACTATAAATAAATCAAACGTTTTTTCAATTTTTTTTTGTACATAGTTATATAAATACATACACACAAACAAAAACAAAGTCACATGCACGCGACTGCTTCGCACGAGCATGTGCTCTTTGATTGATTATTTAAACTCAACGTAAAAACTGCAAAAATTAAAATTAAAAACAAAAACAAAAACAAATAATGTTGTTGTAACTAAACTCATCGTACTCTATTGCGTTCGCTGCTATCTACCACTTATCGCCCGTATTTATGTACATATGAACAAATCATTATTTAACATTATTAGTAAACAATGAACTTGTGTGAAAAGTAAACACACAAGAAAACAAAATTTAAAAAAACTACGATCAAAGAATAACATGACTAAAAAATTAAAAGTAAAATAAAAGAATTCTGGAATGACTAACAATTACTGGCAAATTTAACGCGTTTTTTCATCAATATATGAATTATGCGTAAGTATGTATATGCTTATTCGAACCATATGCATATACATATGTGCTATATGTATGTGTAAGTGATGTGCGTATTCAATTTTTTTCGAAAATCAATAATATTAAATGTTAATTGCAGCAATAGCTGTGAAAAAATAGATAATAATTTAACAACAAAAAAATGAATAATAATAACTCTAAACAAAAACAAAGACTTGGGATTTTAATACTAAATTAATGATCTTAAATAAAATACAATAAAAGTATTCAAAAAATATGCAAAAGCCTTTATTATTTCAAAGTAATGCAACGAACTTTTTGAGAAACTTTATAGAAAGATGGTTGTTGTTGTTCTAGCGACAAAAAAAAATTGACAAATATTTTTAAGGAATGTTGACGAGTTGATAGTTTTTGGCCGCATACAAATTAGGGTCTATTCCAATTTTGTAGACCTGTCCGATGTGCGCTAAAACTCCTAAATGTGTGTGAACGTGTTCCCTCAGCTAGAGCATTCAATTCCACAAATATTATAAGAAAATAAAAAGCAATACATTTAACCGATATAGTTTTCAACAACGCCCTTATTCCGAAGTTTAAGAAGGGGTCGAAAACGAACTATTCGACCAAAACGTATACTTTAAAAGCTTTACCAAACATTGTTTACTCTTAAGTCAACCAAAAATCAACGACACGTCAGAAAATTCACTGAACGCAACTCCGCATCCTTAAAAATTATTTATTTATTGGTTCGTTCGATGGATTTGGACCAAATGATATCTGCCAAAATTGCATTATTATATTCCAATAAATATTTTTAAGAGTCTAGAGTTCTATTACTAGGAGTCAGTCTTTATATTACCAATCCTCCTAAGCTAAAAGTAGATAGATACCATTGTATACAAAGACTACTACTAGGTCACATCAAGAAGAAGTCGGTCTTGATATTCCTTGACTGCGCTTCTACTTCAATTATAGTTTTTTTAGGATGGATCTGTGTTTTTTTTTTGTCAAAAATATCCCAGTAAGTGTTTCTGGGAGAGTAACTAACTATGCTTTGTAACTTTAAGCATGTAGGACCCGCAGCAATGTCAAATAGCTTGTAGATTTTTCTTCAGTGTTTCACTAGCCCCGACGACGAACTTCTGAATTGCCAACGTTTCTTTTTCGTTTCCCGTAAGTGGTGCTAGCTAGTAGTAACGTGTGTTAAAGAAACGGGTGCAGATTGTCAAAGTTCACAGCGGATACTTTCGGCTTATTTTGCTACAAATTTTTTAGTCCTTTCGATAATTATATTTTACAAAAGATTTATATAAAGTCAGCGGAATCAGCTCGGTTTCTATCCAATCAAATATTATTGTTGTTACAGTAAAAGAAAATATTTACCAATTTTAGAAGTTCTGTCCAGTTAACCTTTCTTGGCTTGTTAAATATTAGGATGATTCATTCAAGTTGGTAGATACGACTGTCATCGAAATAGAGTGTTCTCTATACTGTTTTTGGATAATCTTACGATTTTCTACACATATATTTATGCATTTATCTCTCCCAATTAAATAATCCACCCAAAAATCCAATTCACCGTAATATTTAATTTTTGATCATTATACTTTACTATTATGTAATATACATACATATATATATAACAAAATATAAAAAAATTTTAACAATAAAAGCCATCGTAAAGGAATAAAATGGTGCACAACACTTTGAATATTATTTCCACCACAATTTGGCTAAGCTCACTTTGGTGCCATAACGCGCACCATACCCGGCAACATTTCCGCCTGCAATGGACCAAATTCGATACGCTCACCATCGACCGTGAGAATACCCTCATTGTCGTACGGTTCTATGCGTAGCGCCGTCACCGGCACCATTTTCACAAATTCATTATCGGTGACCGGCACGTGTGTGCCCGAACTCATGCCCATTAAAAAGTTCAACAACTGCGAACGACTAATGCCGCTACGTATGATGACCACATAAATGATGCCATCGTTGAATCTTGCTTGCGGCACAAAGAAACAATCGCTGCCCAAATGCGTTTGATAGGCGGCATGCACCATCACGAATTCGCCCTCCTCCACCACCCATGATGCAGGCACCGGCTCATCTAGCGTTGGCGCGCTACCTACCGGCCCACATAAATGAACGCTCAAATTGCTGTGCTGCAAATGCGATTCTGCATCACTACCATCATCGACGCTGTGATAAATACTCTCCGATACGGAATGATAAGTACTACGGCAGGAAGCAGGTGAGAACCAACTATCGCAACGTGATTGTAGCGATTGATTGATGGAGTTTTGCAGCGAAATGACATCATAGTATTTGCTGGCTTCAATGCAATCGGTGGATTGAAAACAACCACTATTCAGCTTGTCCAAACATGCATTACAACTTCTACTGTGCTTCAGTGGCAGCGGCTCTGCCAATGATACCGTGTCACTTTCTAAGTAAACATTTTCCTTGGGAAGATATGATACTTTGCCGCGATATGTACGTAAACTAATTAAACGATGCAATGTCCAAATGGTAAATCTTTGATAGCCAAGCGAACGTAGGCGTTCACTTTCGATATCTATATCTGAGATAAGACCCCAACCAACCGAGAGGAACGAATAGAGTATCTGTATATATATTTGAAATAAAGCGAAATTGTGAAAGTTGCATATTTTAACCTAGAAATTCATAAAGTTACCTGATTTTGTTGTTGTATGCGCACAACATCCATGGCCATCGACTTGCCACTTAGCATTGTAAGTGTGGCGCCCAAGATTGGCTTTGGTTCATATGGTTCTCTGCATACAAAAAATACATAATTCAATAACAACAAACAAAAATACATATATATGTAATTATTTAAATTTATAAATTCTTCATACTAATATACAATAAATTAATATTTGATATAAATGGGTTCCACAACATCTTTGAAGAGTACACATTTTTGCGGACGACATGGTCAGTTCAGCTCTTCGAGATAGCATTTTACTTCTCAATAGCCTATAGAGTGCAAAGATGCAATTCAAAACTTATTGCTGTCGAGATTTATTGCGCGTGCTCTGACCTGTACTTGTTTAGAATCTTATTTTGTTATCGAATCTGGAAAACACACATTGCTGAGAGCTTATGTTTCAAGGAGATCCTACTAAATTACGAAGTATTATTGTTGTTGTAGCGGCAGTAAAATATTTCCCAAATAATTTTAAAGAATGTTGCTTGTCAGTTTCTTGACTGGATAAAAATCTGTCTCTTTTCCGATTATGTACACTCGATCATCGTGGAAACGGAATTTATGACCTCGGTATTGTATTAAACGATGTTGTTGTCGTCGAGGTCATCTAACCGGAGACCCAGGAAACGAGCTGTTTCAATGAGGGCGGATCATAGGAAGAAGGGTGTTAGATGAGTGGGGTTCGTGGGGAATTATCTATAGGAGAAACCGGCTAACACTAAACACAGCTAAAATAACCGGCTTTCATTATGAAATAATCCTTCTTGCCATGATCTGCTTAAGAGTTAATTCGCATTATAAGTTCCTCGCCGGCATATACCTATATGTACATATATACCTTCGGCACCTGAAGCTTTTTTTGTTTTTAGCCGCATTACTGCCATTCGAAAGACCTTTTGTTTGGATAATATAATGCCTTTTGTTGTTGTTGTAGCAGCAGCAACAATCATTTAAGTAATTTGAAGGCATGCAACGCAATTGTTATTATTAATTGTTAGCGTGATCTTGAAACTTTTGCCACCTTAACTCGACAGACCTCCATATACATAATATATGTATATGGCCATACATATACATAAAACAAACGTATATTTATTTATTTTTTTCATACTTTAGGAAACCACTGTTTACTTTAATGCCAAGTAATCGAACAGTTATTTACATATAAATTACACCTTAAGTTATCTGAAATATATATATCTAGTTCAGTATTTATTTACTCACCCACACACATGCGCAATGGAACGGGCCAAACCATTTCCAGAACCACATGGCACTATGCCCAAAAGTATGTTACGTGACTCCAACCAATCAGCACGCATCAGCAAGCCATTTAGTATCTCAAAGAATAGGCCATCGCCACCGACTGCCACAATACCACTGTAGTTATCCAAGACTTTCACACGCACAAATTCACGCGCATAATTGGCATGCTTGGTCACATGCAAATCGTACGGTTGCTCTGCTTCATTTAAGACTGGTACTACTTGACGATTGAAAATCTCTCGTGCCTTACCGGAACCCGATTTCGGATTCAACAAAACCAGTATACGTCGTTCATCGGTGTCATTATAACCCAAACTGCGTCCCTTAAACGCTCTAACTGTATGATACCAACGTTCTGCTTCGCGCATATTATCGCTAAAAGTGTCAAAGGAACGGAAGCGCAATTTCAAGACAGTACGTTCGCGACGTATGATATTACGTAGGTGTTTCTTATTTAATATATATGCAAAAACATATAGATATGCGCTGGCATTGTTATGCTGATAGGTAACAGCATTATATTTCTTTTTTGTATCATCACCGCTATCGCTACGATTGCCATCATTTTGTGCTGCGGAACTACAGAGCATTGAGCAGCCGCGTCGATCCTTTTTCACGACAATACAGCGACTACCAACTATGTCATTCAATTCGATGAGTTGCTCTCTGGAGCGGTTATTAGTGGTTTCGCGTTGCAAGGTAAATCCCTGTCCATTCAGTTTGACGCGACAAACCTGACCCTTCTTGTCGCTCGTGTAAAATATATCAGTCAACTCCTCGACCTCCATTTTTTTGTGGAAGTTTTACTAAGCAGCTGCAGTATAATGCCTATTATAGAAAGAACAAGCCCATTAAGTGGCAGAAGCGAAGAAATTATTAAAAAAATTTCAGACAAGAATGCAAAATTGTGTAGAGCTACTGAGAATTAAATAACAGTTACCGGAAACAGCTCTAATAGAAAAATTTATGTGTTTTTAATGAGTTAGTTTCGTACCTACTATTTGCATACAATTGCAAATCCTCTGGTGAGTCGCAAACGTAATTTTATGTATGTTAACATTCCATTCATGCAGCATATCACTTTTAATGACAACATGTATCTGTGTATACAATTTGTAGTGGTGTTAATTTCGAATAATCGATTCATGCAAATAACAAAATCTAATTAGTTTCCAAAAATTGTAGGCAAGACTTGGTCTGCGATCCCACAAAATCGATTCAGTGTTTATAGTGTCATGCCATGTAGCCTTTTAGTACATCTGAATCAATTTTAATACAAAAATTACATTAAGAAAGTATCTTTATTGAACAATTTATAACACAGATTTGTAAGTTTTCTCACCAATAACAATAATTGATGTATTTTATAATTTAACGGGTATGCTGCATCATTGCTCCCGTCTTTTGGGGTGTACGAGATATCCAACCTCAGCTCAGTATACCCACAGCGGAAGTTACATTGACAAATCTCAATACAAAACGGAAATCGTTAAAAAATGATGTATTTGTTATCTACATAATACATATTTCCTTATATTATACACTCCTACTGATTTTATACTTAATTCATTTTACAATTAGCATTTTCTTTTCGGCAGGTATAATTTCACTTGTTACTAATTTAGAATAGAAACGCAGATGAACCAGTAGAATCCATTGATATACAAACCCTGTATGTATGTACGAAGGATGCTAATTTCGTATTCGTTTTGCTCCACAAAAGAAGGGAGAAAAGAAATCTGTCAAGATTACAGTTGCCATCAGATAAAATTGTGTAGCCATATGGCTTATATTATTTGCTTTCAATTGAAGATTGAGTACACAACTTAAATAACAGGAAGTTGAAATATGACAAATTTCAAATAAAAACAGGTAAGCACGCCTTACTTAATGGGTTAATGTTTTTTTACATTTTTTAATTTTAAAAATAAATAATACGTAAGCGTACTTTCCTTAACATTGGAATTAGCATTTCTTTTCTCATTTCACTTTGGTGAAAAAGTTCATCGTTTTCAATACCCCTGCAAAGAGTGGAATATTTTTATAATAGCTGCACCGTGAAACTTCTCTATAGTTTACGTTCTCTGATATCTGTATACATATTTATAACTTATCAAAATTTTACCTAGCTCTTGAACTAAGTAGAATTCTGACAGACGGATTCATTACGAAAAACGTCAAAATTTCACTTTCATCTGTCAGGATTTTACTTTTCTACCGTTTGGCAAACAGCCTTACCAAGTCTTTGCTTTTATTTGCCAACATTCGGTATAACGAACTGGCAGCTACTTTCTAGCGATCTGGCAATAGCAATCATCTCGTGGTTGTTCTTTTTGACAATTACGAACCTCCACCAGGCAGCTGTATGCCTTGTCGATTTGCTTATATATTTTTTCAAAATTATTGTTGATCTCGGCGCAAAATGCTGGAATTTGTGGAAATTAATTGCGATTTTGCATTTAGCCATAGGAATGTTGAACGCGTAGGCTTGGCATTTCTCAATTCAAATAGATACAACGCCACCACTGAAGTGGCGGCAGAGAGCAACGACGATGCGGTGGATAAGTTACCTGAAGAATTCGCGGTCGATGTGGACTACCTGAAATCACTAGATCCCAAAGAATGGAAAGATCATGATCACTATGCAATACTTGGATTAGGTAAATTAAGGTAAGAAAATACGACTGCGATTATTAATTGTTTATGTGGTATAAAAATGTGGGTAATCGGTTACAGATTTAATGCTACAGATGACGATATACGGCGTGCTTACAGACGTATGGTGCTAATGCATCACCCAGACAAGCGAAAAGCAAAAGGCGAAGAAGTAAACACTGATGAAGATTATTTTACTTGTATTACTAAAGCTTATGAAATACTTGGTATGTTGATCAAATATTAAATTAAAAAATGTTTGCTAAAGTATATACATTTATAAACAGGCACGCCGAAAACAAGACGCGCTTACGACTCTGTTGATCCTGAGTTTGATGACTCATTTCCAACTCAAGCAGAGATCGATAAGAACATTTATGAATGTTTTAACAAATGTTTTGACTTAAACGCGCGCTGGAGTGAAAAGAAAAATGTGCCAAAATTCGGCGATGAAAATTCGAAACGTGAACACGTGGAAGAGTTCTATAGTTTTTGGTACGACTTTAAGTCTTGGCGTGAATTTAGTTATCTGGATGAAGAAGACAAAGAAAAAGGTCAAGATCGAGATGAAAGACGTTGGATTGAAAAGGAAAATAAAGCGCTACGTATTAAAAGAAAAAAGGAAGAAATGATGCGTATACGTGCATTAGTCGATTTAGCTTACAATAATGATAAACGTATACAAAAGTTTAAAAATGAGGAGAAAGAAAGAAAATTGGCCGCCAAACGAGCCAAAATGGACGCTGCACAGGCACAAAAGGCCGAACAAGAGCGTGCGCTGCGGGAAGCACAATTGGCAAAGGAGCGTGCCGAGAAAGCTGAACAAAAACGAATTGAGCAAATACGTATCGAAAAGGAACAAATGAAGAAGGTACTGAAAAAGGAACGAAAGACATTGCGCGATAAATTAAAAGAAGCCAAATACTATGGAAACAATGATAAGGAAACACTTAAAAATATGGAAGGTGTGGAAAAGATTTGTGAGATGTTCAATTTAACTGAATTGCAGGAACTCAACAAAGATATTGAAAAGAAGGGACAAAATGCTTTCTTTGTTGCATTGAAAGTGGTTGAAAAGAAAATTGCCGCCGAACTGGAAGAACTCAATCAAACACAGCAAAAGAAAGTGACGAAGAATGACAAAGAAGTGAAGAAGAGTGATGTTTGGAACAATGAAAATATGCAACTACTTATAAAATCTGTCAATTTGTTTCCAGCTGGCACATCACAACGTTGGGATGTGATCGCTGCTTTTATAAACCAACACTCCACTACTGGTGTGACAGTGACCGCGCGTGATGTGCTCAATAAAGCAAAAGCTATGCAAAATAGTGACTTCTCAAAAAGTTCACTTAAAACACAAGCTAATGATACTGCTTTCGAAAATTTCAATAAATCCAAAAAGGATGTACAGACCTGCAATGATATCACAGTAAATCAACCAGTTGTGAATAATGTAAACAATGTGGATGCCAATGCAAGTACAAATGGTAATAACGAGCCGAGTGATAATGATAAAACTGCTAACAAGGTTCCAAACAAGTCAACAGCCGTACCAAAAACGTGGACAAAAGAGGAGCAGGCGCTGCTAGAACAAGCCATTAAAACGTACCCAATCTCAACACAAGATCGCTGGGAGAGAATAGCGGAATGCATACCGAATAGAACCAAGAAAGATTGTTTACGTCGTGTCAAAGAGCTAGTAGAGCTGGTGAATTCGAAGAAAGAGGCACAGCAATCGGTCAAATGATTAAATCATATGTACACAATAATGATTATTTATTTGTCCCTTTAAATGGATTTTATGTAATATAATTCAAATAAACACACGTTAAATCATATAGAGAGAAATAGTAATGTGATTAATGGCGCATTATACTTGTACTTTAAATGGCGACAACGCAACACCAGTTAAATGTGATGTGTTAATGTCGCTTACAATAAAATATAACTGCTTACTGACAGCCAATACAATTTGAAATTTACTTGAATCTATTTCTTCTAGCGCATTATCTAAAACTTAATGTACACACATATATTATAAATGTAAAATGAGAGAATTTAAAATTAGAACATACACTTTCCGGTGATAGCTAATGAATGCAACAAAAACAAGCAGTTGAAAATATTGACAAAAGTTATACATAATCTAGAAATTGTATATTCTTTAAAAAAGTAAAATACACTAAAAAATCTTTGAAGTCATTGCGTTCTAGTGACAATGTACAAAGATACTCTCATATTTACATTTTCATGCAAAATAGTATTAAATGTGGTATCTAAATGAACTTAAATTTGTTGCGCATTCAAACGACCACCACTCAACTTCAAATCAAATGCCTCTGGATTAGCTAAAGGATCTAATTCTGCGAAAAGATCCATCCAATTAGTCGACTTCGTTGTTTTGGAAACAGACTCGGCGATTGTATTTTCATTTGTGTTCAAATTTTGTTGCGTTATATCCGAAATAGTTTTCTCATTCGTCTTTGATTTGATATTATTGTTGCTATGACCTAAGGCTTGACCAAGTGGCCATAGGCCAGCCCAAATACTTTGTTGTGTAACCATGTTACTGTTGTCATTTGGTTCGGTTGGTATTAAAAGCTCTTCATCGCCAACATTTGCTGTCAGTTCAATAAGCGTATTGTCGTTCGTCGCAGCCGTGTCCAATATATCAGTGTTAATTGCTTGGGTTTGACTTTTACTATCCTTCTCATCACTATATTCACTCTGCAAGAGAATTGGAAACATAGTATAAGTGCTAGCTTCTCATATATGTACATTTGTATGCTTATTACTAACTTCAAAAAACAATGATTGGTCCTTATCTAATGCCACGATGTCATCAATCTTGTTCTCATCGGCACTGCCTTCGTTTTGTGTCAACTCCTTGAGCACACAAAAATCATATTTGGGTTTCTGCAGTAAAGACTTTGATATGGTTTCGAATGTGCTGGACGTCTTTTGTGCAAACTCCTTTAATTCGCTCATGTATGAAACCAATGCGTGTGAATACATATTGCATCTAGCTGCGGCCAGCAAATCAATCTAGCCAAATAGTTTTTAATAAATATTAATACTAACAAATATTGTATATTTATTTTTGACGCACTTTTTGTATGGAATCCATCGAGAGACTATCGAAATTACGCTTGGCCGTGCGCACATGCGTCTGTGCTGTGCGAAACTTGTCTAGACCTTTACCCGTGTCCGGATCCAATTCCGTGCTGGCTGACTTCATCCACGAAAGCGCAGCACGATATTCAGTGCGTTCTTTCTCCATTATCTGTAGTGTCGCCTGCCGTGAAATTACAAATAAAAACATGCTTTAACTCTAGTCATGTTAATTTATGTACTATTTTAAACGCTATCACACCTGTGTATCGCAAACGGCTCTACTGCGAAATACTTCCACTTCATGATGCAGTCTTAACAATGGCACGCGCACACACATACGCTGTTGCCCACTGTATGACACTGCTTTGCCCGTATTTGTTATGCTTTGGCCAGTGGTTTTGCTACGTTTTCCGGCTTCTTTAAGGAATCGCCCGAAAACACACTCTTCCTGTGACAATATGCACAATCTTTCTTGCAGCTGGTCAATGATTTTTCCCAATTCGAAGCTGGTGCTTGCTATCGACTTGTACACCTCAATTTTTGCGTCGAGATCGGCATCAGATGAGATAATGTGTGCATCTTCCTTGGTGCCAAGTTTACGCTGCACCGTTTTTTTTGTTATCCAAAATTGATGATGCAGCATAGCGTTTGAATTTTAGCAAAAAAATATACTTTCTTCGTCGATGTGAAATTTCGCTGATTGGCTGTCATTGAATGAAACTATTTCAACGGCGCCTGCGTGTTAATCAATTAAAATCAAAATCACAAGTGATACCATATTTGGACATTATTATTTTATATATTATTATTCTTTAGAATATTTGCAATAAAATAGCTTCCAGACTGATGAATAAAAAATAAATACTTCACATTATTAACGGAAATGAACTTTCGAAACAGTTGAAGGTATTTCAAATGAACGCCTCGCAAAAGTATGCAACGAATATAAGTTTCCGGGCAAAAACACCAGGCAGGCTTGCCGTATCGCACGGAAATGCATCACCTAATAGATAGAATATATTATCAATTTATTTTTTATATTGGAATTAGTTTAAATTAACTTTAGCAAAGCATGCACTAAGAATTTATGTTAAAAAAAAGTGTTATATTAGTTGTCAATAAACAAAAATCTGCATAATTTATTAACGAATATGTTATCGTTGCTAATAATAAACACATTAATCAACTGATCACCAGATGGTCATTTTATTACAGATTGGTTTATTATTGAATTTGCATACTCACGCAACAGGTTATCAAAAACAAAAATATAAATAATAAATAAAACTAGATCTCTAAGAATGTTCTTCAAGGAAGGAAAAGTATGTTATTGTTTTTTATAACAGCAGAAAACATTCGCCAAATAATTTGGAGAAATGCATCCGCGCTGACAGCCCTTTCTTCGATAAATACCGGGACCACTCCTGACACGTAGAGCCGACTGTCGTGGGAGCATACATATGTATGTATATCTGCGAAGCTACTAAATTGTACGATGCTTAATGAATGACGAAATAATACGATGCTATAACTACCCGTTCCCATGACAGTCAGGTCTAAAAAACTCATCGATCCAAACGGGATTAGATCGCCGAAATAACAGCCCTTGGCCGGATAAAACCCGGGTCAATTCCAGTAACGTAGAACAGGCTGTTGTGGGAATATTGGTACGAAAACAATCAACCTGAACTTTACCACCCAAGCGGGGATAAGATAACCGCTACAGCAACAACAACACAGTCAGGTCTAACCGGTACGGAACCGGATGTTTATCCAGCTAATAACTGTCAACTCGGCAACATTCTTCAAAATTATTTCAGCAATTTTCTACCGCTACAACAATAACATGTTGGATTGACACATTGCTAGCTATTAAAGATTTCAATGACGAAATATAATTTTTTTGAAAATGTGTTTGTAACTATAACACTAAATTTAATGGAAATTTATCATTTTGGTTTTTATTGTGTTATTTAATTTAATAATATTTTTATTTGATTTTTCACTTATTTTGCCTGTCCCTTTTGGCTATATAAATTTAACAGACCACATATGCATTTTATAAGTATATAGAATATCAATAAATCATCAGAGAAGTACTCATACAATAATTTACATAGTCACCATAGTCATTTGTTGCTTTTTATTAAAAAAGGATAATACATCTAGATAAAAAAAAACTCTATATACATTACATATTAACGCATCATGATAGATTTCGATTAACAATATGGTGTAACAAACTACTGATAACAAATTCACTAATCAAGTTCACATAAATATGTTTGTTTACTTTTTAAGAACATTAATAGGCCTAACAAAATATTCTAGTATATTGTGTAGTTCCAGTACACATCAGCTGGGTCTATCTCAATGATGTGCTGGCAGACATTTCGATATTTACGCTCAACTTAATTACCACATATTATACTTGTATCTAATGGGTATGCAATTATGTATATTATGTTAAGTATGTATGGTTGTATGTTTGAATGCTTGTATATTGGGTTATATTCAACATGTACATTGCGCAACAGTTTAATGAGATATTTATTATTTTTATGTGTGTGTGTTTATTTCTTATATCTCCTAATTAATTTGTTATGAAATGTTCGCTTTGTTTTCATTTTTATCTAGTATATATGTGTGTCTATTATTTAGCGCAATGTACAGTCGTATTCCCCAAAGCGCATATTATGCTTATCGAAATGATTTAAATGCATGGCATTTTTATCCGTTGCTTGCGCGCTATTTAAAAATGAACGCTGATTCATATTCATATTTAAATTCATGTTCATGTAAGGATTGAATTGCACATACGGCGATGAACTTTGGTTCGGTTGACTGTTATTCGAATATGAGATTTGCGAAAGATTACTCATATAATTTCGATTATTGTTAAGTGACCATTGATTGGTCGCATGCGTGGCAGCGACGGCTGCCGCAGCAGCAGCCTGTTTTTGTGTTTGCCAAAAATTATGCTCCATAAAGCGTTCGGGCTCCTTGAAGCTCGCATAACCGTTGGTCATATGGTCGCGCGCTGTTGCCACAGCTGCTGCCGCTGCGGCCGCTGTTGTTTGCTGCTGTAGGCTATATTGATAATTGTTACTGCCACTGTTGTTACAACTACCACTACTGCTACTGCTGCTGCCGATACCGCCGCCGCCGCTGCTGCTAGCATCTATGGGGTTATGTGTTGTGTTGGTGGTCATGCATGTTCTAACATTATTCCTGATGTGATTGTTATTGTTGCTGCTGCCACCGTTCGATTTCGCATTGCAATTGCTGCTGGTATTGCTGTTGTTGTTGTTGTTACTGCTGCTGTTGTGATTATGATTGGTGTGGGCGCTTTGTGCTTTGGCAGCAGCATAATGCACATTATTAGAGGTATTAAAGAACTCATTAAGTTCACTTTCATAGCTGTTGGGTCCCTTGAGACCCCTTGAATGTCATTCACCCGTTGCCGTCACTGTGGTCCATTGCCAGGGACTGCTGTAGCCAGGTTTTGCGTTGCTGAAAATATGAACACAAGTTGTAAAACATTTTAAAATTGTTTAAAATTTTTATAGAACTGATTAATGCAGTCCAACAGTATACGCCAAAATTATGTATTTGCATCTTACCTGCCAAACAGTGGATGCCACAATGCCTGATTGGTCTCGACATTGATGTTGTCAGCTACAATGTTTCGACTCGACGTTTGGTTCTCTAAAGCTGCCGTTGTTGCTGCAGCAACAGCAGGCGTAGATGCCACCGCTGTATCGGTATAGTTCATAACGCGTTTTCTTTGTTTGGCCAGCTCATGCGTGGTATTCAAACATACATTCGAAACTTTATTCATTTTCGCAGTTTTGAAAGGCATTACTTCTGCAGGCGCTGGTACAACCGTCACGGTTGTATCTTTATTGATTATTGTGTTAATTTGGCTATTCGTAGTGGCAAGTTCATGTGACGCATTGCGTATGTGGTCTGTTGTGAGATTGACCACAGGAACTGCCGGCGATGACGGCACACTTTCCGGTTCTAATAAATTTGAAAGAGATTTGCACGTTAAACGTGGCTTATTATCAACTTCCTGTTTTTGCATATAAGCGTATTTACTATAATTTACACTTTCAGTCATCGCGTTATCACAACTTAAAGTCGTATTGTTGTTATTGTGCCTAAGCGACTTCTCGGCAACACCTGCAACTATGCCGTTAATGTCAGGCGTTGTATTTGTTGTCGTCGTCGTTGTGCTTGTGTTGCTTTTGGCCTTCTTATCTTCAACGCCAAGCATGTGCTCAACATTTGTGTTTCCTTCATGCGCTGGACTCTTTCCAACAACGCCTCTTTGTATTGACGTTTGTATGGTTGCATCCCCAGCTGTAGCCATAGGGTTGATATTCAAAAAGTTAGCCATTTGATGTTGCAACATTTTCTGAAAGACCGTCGTCTCCATAGTGGGCTGGAATGCGCCGAGTGGCAGTGGAAAATTTGGCAACGCATTGTTAACAGGTGTCTCTGCAGCACTGATGTGCTTTAAGGCCGTCATCTGCTTCAGGTAATTCTTGTACATTTCATCCAAATGTTGCAGACCAAGATGGTGATTGTAAAGCGGTGGCAGTATGCTCGCGTATTTGTTTTGTACGCCTAGAGGATTCTTTAATGTTTTTAGAAACTCCTGCGATAACTGCCCAAAATATGGCAACCACAACATTTGATTTAGTACTGCCAGCGTTGCAGCATTAATATCGGAAGCCAAATTTGTCTCAACATGTGAACATTTGGGCGGCGGCGCTGGTGGATTCAATGGCGCTTCCTTAACTTTCACACATTTTGGCTCGATTAGCGGTTTGTTTGTATTTGTACAAGGCATAGAATTTATTTTCTTTGTGTTTTCAGGCGGTAACTCATGTATTGGATCAGCCAGGGTACATTCTTCTTTGCTTTTTTCCATTTCCATTTCATTTTTCAAAATAGCTTCTAACTGCGCCATGGAAATTACCAATATATTGGGATTTTGTATAATCTCGGGGTAAGCAAATGCCTCAGGTAGTCTTAATTCTGGCCTGGTGGTAATTAAAAGTGGGATTTCACGTGCTGGTGAAGCTAATACTGCCCGCAACCGATCCTTTGGCACAAGTATTGGATCCGGTACTTTCCATTGTGTATTTCTTATAAGTAGCTGTAACTGGGTGAGCGGATCCGGATCCTTGTCGATCAACCTTGGCGTTGGAGCGACCGCCTGAATCGCTTGAACCGCTTGTACCGTTTCTTCAATAACATTATTTTTATTAAGTTTAACGTTATTTCGCACACGTTTCTTCATTGGCTCTTCATCGCTATTATCATCAATAACAACTGTTTCAATATAATTGGTAGATGTAGCATAATCGTTGCAATCATTGCTTATATTTATATCACTATGTGGCTTGCCAAGATTCATAGGCTCTGACTGTTGTTTTGTAACTGGTGTCGGTATCGCATTAAATGCGTTTAATTTAATAAATTGTTCCAATATTAAATTTTTGATTGCCTCTGATGTTGTTTCTATAGCGGGTAGTTCACCTTGCTGTGGTGACTTCACGACATCTGAACTAGACGTTACAGCACACTGACTGCGAGATTCGGATGGTGGGCAAACCTCTTCTCGTTTTTTATAACTCAAGTCTTTTGGTGCCTCGTCCAGTATCATATCGTCATGCAGTTTGTCTTTAAGTGCTATTGGCGATGATAAAGCCATTACATCCGTACTTTCAGTTTTTTTACCATCATCACTCAAACTAACTTCCTCAACGCTAGAGTCTTTTTCATAAGTATCCATAAAATTATTTGACTGAAATAATTCACCATTGAGTCCCTCAATTTCACCAGCTTCATTGAAAGACAAACATTTTGGCGAGTCACGCACCGACTCATCAATTATGTGTAACGGTATTGCTTCGGTTAATAAATCTTTTTGTGGCATATCTTCACATTGCGAAGTGTTAAATGTTGTTGGTACATCAGCCTCCTTTAGTGTTTCAGTTGCCTGGATTAAATTGTTTTCACAGCTGCGTTTAACAATGGAATCAATAATGTCGGCATCGCTGTTGGCATTATCGCTGCAATGCTGCATTAAATCAGCATCATCTAGTAGATCTTTAAGATTTTTGGTGTCGGCATCTAAATTTGTAGTATAATGTACATTCAACGATTGTAACTTTTCCCTACTTTGCACATTGTTATCGTCTTCATCGCAGTCGGCCAAGTCTACTAATATATCTTTGGGCAAAAAATTCGTATTAAAAGTATTAACATCGCAGTCTTTGGGCGCGACCTCGGTACTGTCCCTCTCAGTGTCACTTTCGCAAATTATTGTGGGCAGGAAAAGCCCTGTTATCGGACACAGCTGCAAATGCATCGTATGATGTTGATATGTTTCAGTTTCAGTTTCTATAACTTTTTCATTTAAATCAGCCTGCACTTGTTCATCTGATAAAGTTTCTGGCACATTTTCTGCTTCAACTGGTTGTTCTTTTAAATCAACATGAGAATCTGCTTGTTCATCCAGCTTGTTGACAACTTTATTATCCTCTATTATACTATTATGGTTATTGACACACATTTCATTGAAGTTTGGTATTGTCTCCGAATTTGATTGTATCATTTGAACAATTTGCGCTGTACATTCTTCATTTTGACTAACTAATTGGGTTTCAAAATTATTATCGTTAGTAATTTCTGGAATATCATCTTGATGTACTTCAGTTTTTGGAATATTAATTTTAGCTGATTTTCTTCCCCTTTTGCCAGTCTTCCTACTTTTTACTTTTTTGTTCTTATGTTTCACCTTCGCACTACTCTCAATTTGAACATCTTCTTTACTAATCACTGTGTCAGAAATCACGTTTTTTATACAAGCCGGCACATTATCTTCAATATTATTCGATATAAAGCTTTGCTTTTCATTTACATCTGTTGGTATTTGACGGCTTATATTTGCGCAAATATTTTCATTACATTTCTGGAATAAATTATTTTCATATATTTCACGTTTGACTTTTAAGAGTGGTGTTTGTAAGATTTTAACAATCTTTGACGTAGTTGGATCAGTACGCGGTATTGAACGCCAACCATTTGAAGTCTTTTTTATACGTATACGGTTTCTTTTGTCGTAATCCTCACAGCGCACTTCAACAATACGTGTGTCATCTTGTTTAACCCATAAAAATATGGGATTGACACGCGCTACAGGATCATCAATTTTGATTTCATTAGTAGGCTCTGGTACTTTTGCTACTTTTTCCGTCACTACTATTGGTTTACTTTCTATTCGGCTATTCACCTTTGGTGTATTCTTTTTTTCTTTTGTTGCTACTGTTTTTGTTGCTGTTGTTGGCGCAGTTATAGTCGTACATTCATCGCTAAAATAACATTTTGGTTCATTCTTAATGTCACGCAATAGTCCCTTAGCTGGACGACTTGGATCCTCAACCATCAAATGCCCGAATTTTGGTTTTTGCGCTGTTTTCTTTTTGTTAGCACCTCCACGTACCCGCCGGCAAGGTTGTTCTTCGAAAACCAAAAAGATATCTCGCGCCACTCTTCTTCTTTCCGATTTTCTGTGGAAAACATGTTGTTCACCTGGACTTTCCGCCTCTGTCTTGATGGCATTCTTGCGTACCTTCGTTGCTACATTGACATTGGAACCATTGGTGTCCTTTGCGTGTGCGTTGTTTACCCTCGGCATTTTTTAGGGCACCAACTAATTCGCTAACACCAACTTAAGGCGATTTTCATCTTTCGATTACCAACAAGAGTTTCCATAAATTCCAATAGTAGATGATGTGTACCAAATCTAATTGCTGTATTCGTGTTGCCTTTATCGGTATTCCACTGTTTCCACCACTTTCAACTTCTGCAATATGGATTTTCATTTGTTCCTCTAATTCGTTTCGTACGCAATTAACATACTGTGTGAATACATTGTTCATTAAATTGTAACCAGATAATTTAATTACATTCGCAAATTATCAAATTTTTACATTTTTGCTTGTTTTTACACTTTCGTTTTAAAATCGATGGAAAATTTTGTATATATCATAGTCACACCTGCAGGGTTAACATTTTCTGGCAATATTAGTGAAAAACGTAGTAGAAAAACTACTTTTATGGAACAATGTTGTCAGATTCTAGTAGTTTCCCGTGTGGCAAAAGTTAAATCAAATAGATTCCAATTAGAATAAAATACACAAACAGTATTTTCAGCATAGAAAATTCGTGGGTTTCAATACCAATATGAATCTTTTTACGAGAACAACAAAATAACTCACATCTAAAAAGCGTTAGTATATTTAATGTTAATAAGTTTATTTAAGCATGCAAATGTGTTTTAAATCATATATAATAGGAAATAAAAATTACCGATATTCCAAAGCTGGCAACTTGTAGCATATCGACAGCGATTCGTAGAGAATTTAAAAATTCAAAATGTTTTTATCAAGATACTAAGATTTATTGTATGATGTTTTACAAAGGTAAGAATATGATTGTGATAGTAAAAATAACACTAATTGTTTAATAGATGCTAGTTTATACTTGGTAAGCGAAATAAATAAATAAAAGAACCTCACCGCCTGTAATTACGTTAAAACAAGAAAATACATTAACTTCGGTTGAACCAAAACTATAATATCCGTCACAATTACAAAAAATTCCTTACAAGAACTTGATTTTGATCGGTCAGTTTGTATGGTAGCTGTGTATGTACATGTATGTTATAGTGGTCTGATCTGAACAATCTCTTCGGAATTAATACCGTCATATAGTCTAATAAAAAAGTTTTTGAAGCAAGGACTTGATTTTGATCGTTTAGTTTGTAAGGCAGCTATGTATATGCTATAGTGGTCTGATATCTTTGATTTCGACAAATGACCAGCTCTTTAGGGAAAGAAGAAGTGTGCAAAATTTCAGATGAATATCTCGAAAACTGAGGGAATTGTTCGCGTATGTACAGAACGGACATTATAGGGTCTCCGACATTTTTTTCTGGATGTTACAAACTTCGTGGCAATGTTAATAAACCATATTCAGGGTATAAACGGATGTGATTAAGTATTAGTACATATGTATGTATAGAAATATTTTAATTCAATACTTCGGACTAATTGTAAGCTGTTTGAACAAGTGAACGTCCAACGACTGCGATCGCATTTCGTCTTTTGTACTCTCGATGTGCTTTAGTGCAAAAAATAAATCAGGAACGCAAAACATAAATAAAATTTTATATATAGGTTATTAAAAGATTTTTATTTAAAATGTGTTATGCAAATAATAAGGTAAGGATTTCGATTCGTATAAAGGTTTAAACAACTGATTACAATAAATACATTTCGGCCTTAGATTATTAATAAAAGGTTCTACTAATAGTAATGTTAAGTGAGTTTGATATTTTTAATTTAAGTATTGCATTTACTTAAAATTAGAATAGTTTAGTAAATAAAAACCTAATTAATAAACATCCTGCTTTTTGTATGTATGTTAACACCACCAATATCACAAACCACTTAGCTATTAAGTAACTATTATTAAAATTACTGATGGCTTTCACAAGAAGGCATAAGATTAAGATTTATAAACAAAGAAGAACGCTTAAAATTTTTCTGAAATATGTTAATAAAGCTAGAAATGTAATTGACACTTTAAGTAAATAAGGGAATAAAGAGATATCAGTTTAGTTACTCATCATATTCAAAGCGTTTCGCTTGGATTGTTTTTAAAAACTTTCTGTGTTCAAACGGTAAATTAATTGGGGATCCTGCCAGGAGGGTTAAACCTCTGGTCGACCAATAAAATAAAAATTCTAGCATGTGTTTACCTTCGAAACGCTTACAACGTGTGCTGTGTAAAAAGCAAAATGCAGTAGTATTCCGAAATAACGAATATTCGTTTTAACGAAAACCGCTTATAACGAACAAGTTTACATTGAGTACCTTAAATAGCGATCAACGGGGATTTGTCAGTACTCGGTTTAACAACATGAAGAAGACATATGTATGTAGAAAGAGTTGAAAAACAAAAAAAAATTGTAGTGAAAACAAAATACAAAACAGGACATGAAAAAAATTCGAAAGAAAAAATTACTATTAATTATATAAATATTAATTTTTCTTTATGTTTTGTATTTCTTTTCTTTTCAACTAAGTGTAAAACCAGGCTAATTTTGTGGAAGAGTATGATGTTCCAATTTCGTCATTCTTAAGGCAAGATAAGGATTCTTTAGCAAGGAGGAATGGAACTAAATTCTTGAGTATTTAACATTTTCGGCTTCATTTCTCAGTCAGCGATTTGAATCAATGAGTTGATTAAAGTCTCATACAGAAAATCTTCGACAATGTATCCAGTGGGCAAAGCAGAAAAATGTTGAATTCATAAAACTTATTGAATGAACTTCAGGAAGAAGCTATCAAATATAATCTTCGTATTCCAAAAAAGCTAACGACGATTCATCAATTTTTTAAATAGCTATAAAAACTTATATTACTGATATACAAATATTTTGATCTCATGAATTGGCTTTTTAAGAATATTACTTCCTTTGAGGTAACATGAAATACTTTGAATTGTTCCGTTTTTAACAAACAATTCAATAAACAATGTATTATTCGGCAATTTTCAGTACTTTACTCATTTCTATTGAAAAACATACCCCGCTAGGTGAGTACTCAAATTAACGAAAAATTCCATACAAGTATAACGAACTGGGCTGACAATTAATGTGTTCGTTACTACTGTATAATATGCCGGTAACGTATAACGCGATCTAACGCAAAAACAAAACAAAACCAATAATTTTACATAAATAAAAAGTGCGAGTAGCAATAGAAAATTGAAATAGTGCTTGTATTTAAAAAAAAAAAAATTAAAGTGCACGAAATAGTATACAAATTTTCAAAAATGTCAGTTAGTTGCCCAAACTACTAATCTAAGAGCTAAAATAGCTCAATTAACGAGCCAAGTTAGTACATTGACAAATTTAACAGAATACAAGACTCAAACAATAAATAACTGTATAACTTGAACGAAAACTTAGCTATTGTCAAATCTTTGCTAGAATATTGTGGTAAATCTTACGTCAACTGGAGGGAAGCTGCAAAAAATGAACGAATCAATAAACCTTTATATAGAAGGCAGTAGACGATATTTCGGTGCACTGACAATCTTACGAAATAAAATTGTAGGAGATGCAAATGACATTCTTATGAATCGGGATATTTTCCCGACTAGATTTTGCATACGCTGATAGAAGACCAATTCACGTGATTGGACAGGGAATAAGCGTTTTGCGACAAGGATCGAAATCCTTAATAGACTATTATAAGAAAGTCATTTAGAAATTGACTTTATTAATAAACAAGACAATAATGACGCACGGGACAAACTCTGAAATCACAAAACAAGTAAATATCAAGAACCGTGAAACTGCTTTAAGAACTAACACAACTGGATTAAACTATCCACTAAACCAACTACTTTTCACTTTAACAACTACAGATTTACCAAATGCTCTTACTAAAGCGCAAGAGCTGCATTCGAATGAAATGCGAGCACAATTTGCTCTGCAATTTAAAAAAAAAAATGAATTTCATTCGCGAAACCACCCACAAGCTAATCGAAGAATTTCAAATTTTCAAAATAATTTAAGGTATCCTCAAAGGACTACCAACCAATATTAAACAAATACAGAACCAATGGACATTGATCCGTCAGCACGGGTCATAAATAACCCTAATTATTTATACGGTGTTAGTGATTTGGAAATATAAAAATCAAATGATGGAGAGCCTTTATTGAAGAATGTTCTCCAAAAATAATTTGCAAAGCAGAGGCAACAAATGTGTTGTAGTTGCTGACGCGTTGGCAAGGCAACATTTTCAAATGTTAAAGTATAGTAATAGATAGTGGCTTAAGTACAATACCGTTGAAGTCTTTAATGGAACGGCTATATATACAAATTTATTATTGTACACCATATCCAGTACTAGTAATGGACAAAAATAATTTATTCAACTTTAATAGAAAATTCCAGATACTTAAAGCAAGAATATAATTTAGTAAGTAACTTTAAATCAATTATTAGAGCGGTTCAACAATATAAACTCAGTAACAGGCAAAATACATTATAATATTTTATTTAATAAAAATATCCACGTAAATTTAATGGACACATTACAGTATGCTCAGGAAAAGATGTTACAGTATTATAATAAGAAAAGGCTTCAAAAAAGTTATCATAAAGGATAAATCATATATGGAAAAATATATTGAGAAAGGAATAAAATAAATCCTAAATATAAAAAACAAATAGTAACAGAAAATGTTGAAAATAAAGCTAAAATACAAAATAGAAATAGAATAATCCATAAAGATAATATTAAAATTTAAATATACTTTATTCAAATTTGATTGACGATGATAGAATAAAAAGAGCGGTTAATAAAATATGAACGACGACTTTATGAAAATAACAAAAAAAGTAAAAGGCTTAATAGAAAATAATAACAAGAAATTAACAACTAACTAATAATCACTGAACTTGAAAATACAATACAAACTATTACACTATCAAAACTTGGAATTTTAAATACGCTTATTTTAGATATAGACGAATAAAACGAAAGAAATAAGTGAGGAAAGAATTAATGTAATAATATCAGGTGTTATTGACGTTTCAAAATTTAAGATTGAACAAAAAAATAATCGAATAATAATAAATAAAAAAAATGTCCAAAAGTACAAAAAATCTGTAACCTATTTAAAACAATAGCAGTAGCACAAAATGAAGGTAAATTGATAATTGAAGAAGATATCAAAAAATGCGAAAACAAATTATATTCATTCCAATTTTGTAAAAAAAAAGAGTTAAGGAATGCATTCTGTATGATAAAAAGGAATAATACATGTTTGACAGATATGTTAAATAATAAACTCGCTAATTGTACAAAAATGAAGAAAGCTAATAAATCAATAAATATTGCAAACGACGCTACTATAATACATAATATTAATAATCATACAATAAAAGGGGTATATTTGATAACTTTCAAAAATAATGTAGCAATAGAGAGAAAAAAATATGGAAACCTCACTGGAAAAATTTTAAGTTATTTAAAAGCAGAAAAATTTGAGCTATTTTTTGTAAGAGAATATATTAAAACAACAAATGTGGATTTAAGATTGGAAAATTTTGATATACTAACCCCAATCAAACAGAAAATAAAAATGGTGGTCACTTACTACACTATTGTTAATAAGCATAATAAGCTAGAAATGTGATTGGCACTTTAAGTAAATAAGAGAATAACGTATAAAAGGAAATTAAATAAAGAGATATCAGTTTAGTTACTCAAGAAATTCAAAACGTTTCGCTTTGATCTCTTTTAAAAACTTTCCGTGTTCAAACGGTAAATTAATTTATATTTATATGTAAGTTCATCTACAAATATGTATGTACATATATAATACATATTTAAATATATACATATCTTCCTATGTACTACGCTTATTCGCACAAGTTCGAAATTAATTTATTTATTCATCGCCTCAAGCTCTACATCCTCAACATTATGAGATCCTCTATCGTACCACCATCTCAAAATAACTGTGCGCCTACGTCGTACCACAACGAATATCAGCATTATGAACACACCTTGTAAGCCGTTGATCATTTCCATGACCATAAGATAAGCGTCTGGGCCAGGTGAATAGAATGTGACAATTTCCAGTAGCCATGATACAATTAATATTACTCCCAGAAAGCTTATACATTTGGCACTAGTAATGAACAAAAAAATCAAATAATTATTTCACATTTAATACTCGAGCACTATTTTGCCAAACTTACTCTTTTTTCACTTCCTCATATTTCATTTCATCAATTTCGGCAGTTATATTTGGATGAACAGTGCCATTCGTGCTGTTCTTTGCAGCCATCTCTGCTTTCTGTTTCTTAATCTTTTGAAAACCGAAGAATGATATCATCATTACAATAAATGATAAGAAGAGGAATGAAGATACTGGTGGTATGAAATATCGTTGTGACTCGCGAATAGCTATAAGGCAGAAAAATATAAATAAATTATTATTAATATTTATTATTTTGCGTATTAAATTAATTAAATACATTTAAAGTTCATTAAATTAAATTTGATTTAATGCAGTTTTATTTGCTATAAATTATTTCAATTAAATTATTTTCAATTATTTTTGTACTAATTTAACTCAGTTTAACTAAAATCAACTTAATTTATTGCAATATATAATATTCTTATTTCTTTTAATTATGAAATTATTTTAAGTTACCTTAATTTCATTGATCGTATTCAGTTTAGTTTTTTTATATAAATATTGTTAAATTTAAATCTATTTAATTTGCTAAAATTTGTTTTAATTCAATTGACTCCAATGATATTAACATTTAATCAACTTAATTTAACTTAAGCCAACTTATTTCGAAATAAATTTTGCACATATTTCAATTAAATTTAATGTTGTGAAATCGTTTCGAGCTAAATAAAATTCATATAATTTCTTATTTTAGTAATAATTTTTTTTACTTCTTAAATTTTTAATTCGCCTATTAATTAATTATTATATAGCTTTAATATTATTTTTCGAGTTTGTAGTTGTTAATTAATTTATTTTCATTTAATATTTAATTGTGATTTATTTTTATTTTTTTATTAATTATTTTACTAATTTTTTGTTTAGTAGCACCTCGTTTAAGTTTTCCCAATTGAATTCAATTCAAGTTATTTCAAACAAAATTATTCAGTTGATTAACATTCTTTAATTAAACATTTAAGTTTTCTGGATTTAAATAAGCTCAAGTTATTCCAAACAAACATATTCGTTAATTAAACTTTTTTCTGTTATTACATTAATTAAAATATATATATATTTTTTACTATATAATCAAACATATTTAACATAAATTTGAGCTTTCCGAATTTAATTCAGTTCAAGATAATTAAATCAAAAATAATAATTTAATGAACATTTTTATAAAATATTACAACAAGTTATTTAAATCAAAAAGAATTAGTTAATTTATATTTGTCAATTAATTGCGACTTATTGCATTTTAAATTTAACACTATTCTTTGTCTTACATGCCGTTAAGCCCTGCATGAAGTAGGACGGCATACCAGGAAGTCCCTTGTGAATAGTCAACGCCACCAGTAAGCCTGCAACACTGTAGCAGACCAGTGAATGTCCAGCAAAAACACACCACACCACCAGCTTAGAGGACCTCTTATTGGCCGGTATGCGGAACCTAGTAAAAAATAAGGTAAGCTTAAATACAGATATGCTCGATACTCGTTTTCAGCTTACCAAATATTCACCAATACATTCCAACAGAGGCAGAAAAACCATATAAAGTATGATAGCATTAGGAACTGTATGACATAACCGATTTTCATGGAATCAATTTTGAAAATATGCACCAAAGAGTGCAGGAAATAGCCCAACGCTAAGCACAACGACAACGAGCTTAGAGATAGGCCATGTACCGAACGTAACTCCTTCAGTCTTATATGTATGTAACTGACGATTAATAAGCACGGTATGGATACGAGCATCAAAGCAGCAATTGCAATGATCTGACCACGTTTCAAGTGCTCCTCAATGGCTGTTATACAAGTTATGGCGTAGGTAATTCCAGACACATTATCCATATCGAGACAATAGTACTTTTCCACAGTGTAACTATCATTTCCATACTTATCCATAATGAGTAGGGAACCGTCTTGCAACACGAAGAAGGCATCATCTTCATCGTTGTATATTAGAGAGCTGCAAGAAATATATGGGACTTTATAATTATCTAGTTTTAAAAGCAATAAATTATGTTACTTACGAATTGCAGGGATTTCCAATCTCAACTTGCAAATCGACCTCATTCTCTTCATCCTCTATGCAGTTGTCGTATAGAATAACGCTTATAATACTGGGTTCAAACTTAAAATTTGTTGAATCGCAGAATTCGTCTGTTTTATTGTCACGAAATACGCTCAGTCCCTCGCCATTAGGACAGCATTTTCTAAATCGCGAGTTTTTCGTATTTATCGGTTGTGCTGCCTTTTTGTTGCGCTGAGAGCAATCCTCAGGTGAAGCAGCATTTTTTGCGTTCTCTAACATGCTCTCTGTAGACGCGCTGTAATTTAACGCTTCGTTCGCTGCCGCAAACTCAATGGAATTTCTGCCATAAAAAATTGATGTATATCATATGTATTAGTTGCAGTAGTACGTGATAATGAATAGAAAAGTTTAAGTTGTGAGAAGGATGATATAATTTGTACATTAGTGTGGTTCTTAAATACAGCGAGAAATTTCAAAACAGTTTACTAAACCTTAAATCCTACGTTAACGACGATTGAGGTCTTCTTTAATGGACACATAACATATAAGTTTTATAGTATGTCGGAAGAAAGTGATTAAGATATGGTACAAATGGCACAAATTTAGATCCCTATGAGAACTTAAATATTTTTAAATATTTAATGATGTAGTGACTAGTCCCTTGTAGAATAATAAGGGATGATAGCATGTTGATAGTTCTCGACCGGAAATGAAGCCGCCGTCTGTCTTTGAATGTACTACTACAGTCGAAGATTACTCATTCAAAATTTAGATAAATATAATATAATACATTTTTCGGTCTCCATAGACAAATTTAACACTTGATACGGATGTGACTCGCCTTAACTGTCTTAAATTTGAAACAAAATTTATTTATCGATCAATTGAGGATAAATAATGAAAAAAAATCGCATTACACTAAGGTTTAAATTTTCACATAATATTCCTTAGTTATCTCGCAGATCGCAGTTATACTGCAGACAGTATTATGATCGTTTTTTATCAATTTTTAGTACCTTAAGTTAATGCTTAGTTCATTTTATTAAGATATATAAGATGCACCGCTTTTTATCTACTTTTCAACTAAAATGACATACGAGTATATTGACGGATTCACATGTAATAAATGTTGCTTCAATATCTTTCTTGATCAACGTAAAGTCGAATAAGCTGTTGGGGTTCATATTGCCGTTAGAAGTAATCGAATTTTGCTTAAGTATTTCTCTCTTTTTAAACCACCATTAATAGGGTGAACTAAATTTGGTTAAGATTAGTCAAGTGTAAGATTTTTCATAGTCTAAGATTTGTAAATTTTTGACCACGCTATGGCTATGGTATATATTATATAGTATTAAAACAAGTAAGTTCGGGTGTAACCGAACATTTTATACTCTTGCAAGGCAAGGATCAAAGCCGGTGAAATACTTTAAGGTGCATAAAATATAGTATAATAACAAAAATCATTATATGTAGTATATGGAAGTTTGGGTAATTTGTCGACCAATTTCACAGTTCGAATGTTCGTTGTTTCTATTAGGTATATGAGGGATAAGGAAATTATTGTCACGATTCTACCCATTTTCGACATACCAGACATATTATTATCAGAAAAGGATTCTCTCTAAGTTTCTATAATATATATCACAGATTCACCGATATGTTCGATAAAAAAAGTTCACAATAGGAATTGTGGTCCATATATTTGGTATCTGGTGACTTGAATAGTTTTAGTACGATTTGAACAATTTTTGGTCATAAGGTGACACATCTCAAAGGCACGATTCATGCAAAGTTTTATCCGGTTACATTAATTGGTTCTTAATTTCTACACTGGAAAGTGAAAGAATGAGATGAAATTTAAATTATATACCGGTTAAAACCGGTAGAGTAGTTCCCGATATATGGGTTTACACCAAATTGTAAGCGATGCCACGCCCATCGTGTAAATTTAACACCGACTTTAACGGCATTCCGTACCGTCTCGGGTAAAAAATTGTATGTCTCTTGTGCATTTATTTATAGATTTATTGCGCTTTTAGTAATAAGGTGTTTACCCAGAGAAAATGGAACACGTAAGTCCCCGCTTTACGCTGTTCGGTTTAGCGGTCTTTTATTTCAACCTTGGAATTCTCCGTAATCGTTCAGCCGAATACACACATATACACATTAATCCAACCAATAGACAAGGCGGCATATTACTTGAGACAAACCTTAAAGTAGATTTTGAAAAAACATATTTAGAAGAGAACCAATCAATAAGAGAATTTTGGAAAAACTACAATATCATGAATGCTTTTTTAGAATGAGATAACAGAAAGATCTTTGAAAGGGTTAGGGAAGAACATTTGGCCACATTTATATTAGAGCGAAGACATTGAACACTCTTTCAATATGACTGAATTAGTGGAAGAAATAGTGGAGTTAGCAAAACAAACTGGTTTAGATGAGATAAATGTGGAAGACGTCAAAGAAATAGTTCAAGAAATAGCAGTCTTTCTAATGATGAGCTTAAGGAAATACCTGAGCAAGAAGAAAACAAAAATATTGACAGTAGTGATTTCGAAGCAAAACAAAAAGAACTTTTGATGGTACCACTACAACTGATATTATGGACCAATTTATTGAAAATGAGCTTGCGTTTTTATATAAACCAATTATATAGGAAGCCCCATCAACTGATTTTAATTATATACCCGTAATTCTTTTGCTTATCAGTCACGTTTTGCACGGGAAATTAATTTAAGTGTGACAGAAGACACTGCAATCGTGTGTACTTCACTTGTAAAGTGCATTGACCATAGGGAATTTATTGGATCTACATTTTTTACAAATAATCTATCCATCTATATATAAAAAAAAAAAACAAATTAATAAAATAATATTTTCCAGAGACCGTAATGATTATAAGTTTTATTTAAAAAAAACACGTAATAATGATTATGCATTGAGTTTTATTATTTTCTTCACCGATAATTTGGTAAGAAATTATTATTTCAATGAACTTGTTGCAGCTACAATCGTATTTGCCGACAGAAATTACTTTTTGAATAACTTTCATATTTTGAATACGATAGCGATAAAATTTGCAATAGTCATGCAAACCAGGACTTATGTATATCCTCTGTGTGAAATTTCAAAAATCAATAATTACGCTTGATATTCGATTCTTTCTAATTTTCTGAGGGGTGGAAAGGGGGCGTGTTTTAAAGAGACCTGCAACGAAGTTAGCAAAAACCTTCATAAGAAACCTGTGATCTAGAAATGAGTTTTAATTTGAGCAAAAAAATAAAAATCACAAATGTTGATTATTTTTGATTTTATTATTATTATTTTTTATTTTTGGTTCAAAAAGAATGATTGTTTTGACTTTTATTATTTTGCTCAAAAATATTAATTAATTATGATTTATTGTATTGCAAAATTAGTCAAAATTAATCATTATCGGTGATGAAAATAATAAGAATCAGAAATTGAAAAATCATCAAGGAAACGCTAAGATCATCGAAAAGGGATTAACATGACGTTATCTGTTTTTTTGTATGTCGATTCTAAGTATTTGATTTTTTCAATTAAAAATCACAACAATAATCATTATTTACGGTCCCTGATATTTTCAGTAAAATGCCAATTGGAAAATTCATAAATTTTTCCATTGACTAATATTTGTATGAATCATTTTTGATATCAATTTTTGATCAGGTATTGTACCCATGAATTCTTATACCGGCAATTACTTTTTCGCGTTTTGGTATATCATAGCCATAGCGTCGCATGACCGAATATACTATTTATAATATAAAAATGACTCACGAATTCTTTTTTTAGAATATTGCTTGAAGTACGAGAATGATTCTTACGCAGAAAAACATTGTCTGAAAAAGCCTCAAAACAACACTTTTTTATACCCCCATACAAACGATTCGTAATCAAGACCAAGAAATAACACTACTAGCTCCAAATTTTTTTTTTCAAATTGGTACATCTGTCGTGAAAACATATGGAAAGATACAAGCCATTTGAAGTTGACTTGTCAGAATATTTTTTAAATATAGTTGTACACACCAGATATCATTGACTAACATTTGACTAAGCGTGAAATTGCTAATGCCATAGGCATCTCAGACGAACGAGTACTTCATATTTTACATGGAGAATTTCATATGAAAAAGCTGTTGAGAAACTAAGTGCCACACACTTTAACAATTCAACGAAAACTGAATCGAAAACAAAATTTTCAGCATAATTTGGAGCGTTTTAAGCAGAATAAAACCGATTTATTGAGTCGTTTTATAACTATGGATGAGACTTGGATTTTCCTAATGATGATCCTAAATTAAAACAAGAACGTTTACAGTGGACTAAAGCTAGTTGTTCAGCTCCAAAGCAGGTGAAGTTACAACGATCAGCAAAGGAGGTTATGGCATCCGGTTTTTGGGATGCAAAAGGAATTTCGTTGTTTGATTATCTGCAGAGAGGTAAAACAATGTTTTAACAATGACAAAATTCAACGAATTAAGGTACGAATTGCTTGAGCATCCACCGTATTCACCAAATTAGACTCCCAGCGACTACCACCTCTTCCGAAGTCTGCAGCAAAAGCTTCGTGGAAAGCGTTTTTTCGTTGAATGAAGAAGCTATTACAGATGTAGACGGGTATTTTGAAAAAGCTTCCGGAAAGTCATTATAGGGATGGCATAAATTATTGAATAAAAAAATATATTTCGTAACAATAACAGTATTTATTCATTTCGAGCGCAGAAACTTTTCAACCAACCTGTATATGTATATAAAAGAGAGTCGTGTTAGTTACAATATTTATAACTCATAGAATACTTTTTATCTCTTAATGTTAAAAGTCAATACAATTCATAAATACAAAATTTATATTTCAAATCATAAATATGGCTTCAAAATTCATGTAAGAATCATTTAAATATTTTATGACTTAAAAAATAATAATAATAACAATAACAACACATAGCCACTGCATTTTGTATACATCAGTATATGGATTATACTGATTGTTGCTACTGAACATTTATAATATCACAACAGAAACTCGCATTGATATTGCATGGCCAATGCAAAGCGCCCACTTTGTTAGGCTATGGGCGAACGGCGCAGAGTCATGGCTCACAAATATTCTCGAAGCATTGCAACGGACAATGCAAGATTTAAACGGCAACGATGAAGTTTTCGGTGGTGCTGTCTTACCACTGTCTGGGATTGCCGATAGCCTGGCCATTCTTCTCTTATCTTAGCGCAATGAGATTAACGAATGTTTAACATAAGTAATTGTTTTTATGTTGAAACTCAAATATATGGGAACAATTGCAAACT